TGTTGTCGGCGGGATCGGCAACTAACGGAGCGCCTTACACCATTTGTGCAATATCTCAAGCCGGGGGTTACATGGGCATCACTGTGAACTGGGAGGCTGGCGTTGTGGAAGATGAGAGTGCGGAGTGGCTTTTGGCCTTTCTCAACAAGGAGCTGCAACGATTATCAGCCCAAGTCAAGTATACCGAGTCATCTAAGCTTTGAGCAATATATTTCCGTGGAGGTGACAGTTGACGCAGTTATGTGACTGAAAGATGTATGGGTTTGCCGGGCTAAAGTGAAAGCCGCGGAGAAACAAAGAGGGTAATCAGTAGAAGCCGGCAGTGTTGTGCACATCTTTCGGGCTTATGTTCAAACCCACACATGAAGTACCATGGATGCGGTGAGTATGGGCGACTTGTTCCAGAGCATAAACATAGCATACAAGCAGTATCAATAGGCAGTAGATAAGAAATGAAAATCTTAGGTCGATGTACAAAAGCATCAAGCCAATTTAGGCGTTGACAGAAAGTGCTCCGAGAACCGCCTGAAAAGGCCCAGTATGGAAAGGATCTGCTAGACGGCTACTCGCAGTCTACCGGCATCAATTCCTCCTAACTTATAGATGCTGCCCCAGCCTCTTTTGTCTGTGCCATTCGACGTTTGTTTGGGCGGGAGACCGAGTAGTGCCCGCTGCCGATCAGACAGCCTCTCTTTGGTTTCCTCGGAGAGAAAAAGATCGTGCTTCTCCATTCTCTGAATGTAGAATCTACAACAGGTCAAGCAGATGATAGGTCGTGAGCTATCTGTCCTGTTGATACCTGTGGAGTGCCAGGTTCTACTGTCAAGTAGGAGACAGGATCCAGCTGGTGCAGCCGCCGGTATTGAGCCGCCCTGTGCGTTGCCAGGTAATCAGTAACATATCCTGTAGAATCATCATTTAAAATGAAATTGGGCGTACAAAGCAAGCGAGATAGGATTGCAACATCTAGCGCAAGCAACGGTGAATGAAAGGGCATCACGTACAACGTCGCGGATTTGCTGAGGCGCCACGTTCTTGACGTGTGACCCAGGGTATATGCGCGTGGCGCCTTTCTCATCAGTGACGTCGGTCAAATACCAAAAGATATTCAAAAGGTAAGGGTGATTGGCCGTATTGGGCGTCATGTCCATTTGATCTGTGTGCATGTAAATCCCGGACGTTGACCTTGGCGTTACGATGTTCGCGGTCATGGCGAAGAGACCGAACTCCCTGCCCAGAAACCAAGGCATGATTGCGTCGATCAAGGGATGGTTTAAAAGGTCTAGGAACTCGTCTCCTTTGTTGACCAGATTCCTTTTCTCAGTACGTTAGTGGGATGAAGTGCGCCTATTTGAGAGTTCGACCTCAGGGAGAAACGAGATGCTTACCACACGCGTTGGTCTGGCTCATCTTCAGAAGACTTATGAAGACTCGCCATGTGAGCGATGCCGGCCTGCCTTTCGCCCGCTGCTTGTTCTTCAAGCGCAGTCCTTATCACTTTGACCTCGTCCGCTGTAAGGGCGTTCGCGACGAATGCATAGCCCCAGTTCTTAAGGTCATCCTTAACTTGCTGTATGTTTTCGGTAGGTTTCGGCAGACTCTCAAGATCTAAATCATCTCTGCTCACTACGGATGCTGGAGGGCCCAGTGCGGAGAAACGGCTGGCGAAGGCACCCGGGCAAGGAGGCTGGGCGCAGAGCCTGAATGCTTGCTGAGCGTTGATACGACCCTCCATAACATCAAGAACAAATTCAGGCGAAATCTTGGTCGCGAGGTCTGCTTGAGTATTTTCGGGCAGCCTTTCAAGGATATTGGTTCGTTTGGACCGAGAATCGATAACAATGGAATGCTGCGGCTGATCCCCGAAGGAGAGCTCCACAAGCATGTTTAGTCCATCAAAATTCTAACACATGGTAATTAGAAATAGGCGATGGTCCAGTCGGTCGATGAAACAACAAAGGAGCGCAAAACTTACGGACTTCCTCTCGTTGATTAAGTCGCAGACGCGCAAAACATGATAGATGAACAAGTCCGATTTCTCGAGCTTTGAGGCATCATATGGCTTGTTGTGAAACCGTAAGGTAGGAGTGTGATTCGCAGACGGCCGTGGCAAGCTGTAAGACGCCATTTGGGGAACAGTTGTAGCCGGGCAATTTGCACTCAAGTATCTCTGTCGGTCAGACAAACGGAGTCTGATGAAGTTCCAAACGCGCAAATATGAGATGTTGGCAAGTCGTCGAATTAGTATTGCCTTATCGTTCAAGAAGCAATTACAAGCCTTTTCTGCACAGTCTTCTAGGTTGTGTTAATATCACAGTTTTGCGGCACTCTTTGTCGGCAAAGGATTAATGCAGAAGGAAGGCGAAAGAAAGATAGGACATTGTGCTGAATCCGGATCACTTCAGCATACCTTTTCCTGTCAGATGGTGATCAATTGATGTTCTGCCGAAACTTAGCTAGTGCGAGGTACTGCCACATCAGCTGTCTGCAGATAGCACAACAGTGTGTAAACTGAAAGAAAAGCTGTCTACCTCAAAGAGGGCATAAAAAGCACCATTGAACCTTCATGCCGACTCTGTCGTCGGAAAATCATGCCGAACCTCTTTTTTGGAATCTCTTGCTGGACAACTAAGCTTCAAGTTGCAGGCGCTGTGCTTGACTCGCAGACACTCTCTGGCTGCCTGCTAGGGGTTTCACTAGCATATTGAATCTCCTCCGCCTCGAACTCAATGAATTTTAGAGGTTGGTCAGGATCTAGCATTAGCCTAATAAAGCCAAATCAAATCCGCGCGGGATCCGCGCGGGATAAAATTCTTACCCACAGCAGCGCCGGGAGGAGAACACCTAAGCTTCCAGCGAGATGAAATTATCTTTAGACCTAGTATCTTCGATGCTCAGAAGAAGTATTATCCGCCGACCATACCTATTAGTGAAAACAGAACCCCTGGGCGCATGCCATACAATGACTTCAATTTAGCGATATGCTTGACTGTACTGATACCGTATAGCTTTGCATGAAATAACTGGGGTTAAGCCGCAATCGTGTAAGTGCCTCAACGCACTTAGATAAGTATCTCTCAAAATTGACATGATCTGGTGTGTAAGGTCTACATGAGTAATTCTCTCTTCGTCAAAACATTGTAATCGTAGAAACCACGATCTACTCTGATACATGCTTACCTTGCAAAGCTCATCTCATCTCAATTGGATTTATTTTACGATCTTCACGGTTCGCCATCAACGATTCAACAGTTGTTGATTTATTGAATAACCAACACAGCTTCCCGACAATTTTCATCATTCGGTGCCAAGATGTACAACCACGAGCCCGTCGCTATAGTTGGGAGCGCATGCCGCTTTCCCGGTGGTGTAGACAGCCCTTCAAAATTCTGGAAATTGTTGCAGCAGCCGGGTGACCTCCGGAGTGAAATACCCAAGGAGCGCTTCAGTGCCGAAAAGTTCTTTCACCCTGACGGCATGCATCATGGCAGTACGAATACAAGATATGGGTACTTCTTGAATGAATCTCTCGGCGCCTTTGATGCGCCGTTCTTCAACATCCAGGCTGGAGAGGTTGAAAGTATGGACCCTCAGCAGCGCCTCCTCTTGGAGACGACATATGATGCACTCTCCTCCGCCGGGCTTGCACATGAACTTCAAGGATCAGATACAGCTGTCTACGTTGGACTTATGACGCACGATTTTGAGACAATCAAAACACAGGATGTGCATCACATGCCAACCTATTTCGCCACAGGCGTTGCCGCGAGTATTGCTTCGAACCGCTTGTCTTATGTTTTTGACTGGCATGGTCCTAGTGTAAGCTTTTGCGTTCATCCGGTAACCGATGGAGCTGCTGATCATCAATTCTTATCCCCAGATGACCATTGATACTGCTTGCAGCTCGTCTCTTGTCGCAGTTCATCATGCCGTACAGCAACTCAGAAGTGGCCAGAGCAGAGTCGCGGTAGCTGCCGGTGCGAATATGATTATATCTCCCTGTACGTAACAATCTTCACAAAATCTCTGAATGTTAACGACATGACATTGACTTGGAAATGGATAACAGTGAATTATGTCTCAGAGAGTAAACTTAGTATGCTCTCTCCAACAGGAAGATCGCGAATGTGGGATGCTGCCGCTGATGGCTATGCGAGAGGAGTTAGTGTTCCAATTCCGCACATTCTACGATTGAATATGGAAATTTAACGGATTTTACATCACGAACAGGAAGGCATTGCAGCTGTGGTTCTCAAGACCCTGCGACAAGCTCTGAATGATGGGGACCACATCGAGAGCATCATCCGCGAGACGGGCGTAAATCAAGACGGCAAGACTACTGGAATTACAATGCCGAGCCACGTAGCACAGGAAGCATTGATTCGAGACACTTATGCCAGGGCAGGACTCGATTTGAGTCACATTGGTGACCGACCTCAATTTTTTGAAGCCCACGGTGAGTTCCTATGGACGTCAGACGCAACTCAGATGGTTTTGGATCACTGAACTTACGGATGTCATGAACTAGGGACGGGGACGCCAGCAGGTGACCCGCAAGAAGCTGAGGCTATTTCGAACGCGTTCTTTGATCACAAGTTTCCCGACGCTACGCAGGCTCAAGGGCTGCTAGTCGGCAGTGTGAAAACGGTGATCGGCCATACAGAGGGGACTGCTGGGCTGTCTGGCATGTTGAAAGCTTCTCTTGCGGTCCAGAATGGTGTGATTGTGCCCAATCAACATTTTGAAAAGCTCAGCCCTGCGGTCCAACCCTTCTACCATCACGTCCGTATCCCCACGGAAATCCAGCCTTGGCCACAAGTTACACCGGGTCACCCGCGACGAGCTAGTGTGAACTCGTTTGGTGAGTTGCAGACATCGTTAGGCATATGCAGCAACTCAAAGACTGACGAAGTCAACCCGCAGGTTTTGGTGGAACGAATGCACATTGCATCATTGAAGAGTATGTGGAATGTGGCCTACACCAGCCTTCGCCTCACAAGATGGTTCCCCGCGACGTAGAGAGCCAGCCCTCAAGTACTACGTACGGTATGCCTATTGTCTTATCGGCCAAGTCGCAGCGTTCTCTGAGAGACAACATGAGCGCCATGCTCCGGTTTCTTGAGTCAGATCCAGGCATTGACATGGCAGATCTAGCCTGGACATTGATGCGCAAGCAGGCTGTCCTGCCCGTTCGACACGCAATCCCCAGCCACACGCGCGAGGGGGCGTGTCTCGCACTTCAAGCAGCCATCAAAGAGAACCTAGGCGTAGAATCCAGTTCTAACCGTGGGAACAAGGGCCCACCCCAGATATTGGGCATCTTTACCGGACAGGGTGTACAGTGGCCAGGCATGTGCAAATCGCTTCTAGCCTCCATCCCTTGGACGCGCGAGATCATAGATGAATTGGATGCCTCTTTGCAGACACTTCCAACAGCGTACCGTCCAACTTGGACGCTTCGACAGCGGCTTTGTTGCGATGATGTCGAGTCTCAGCCGACGGAGGCGAGATTCTCACAGCCGCTCTGCGCCGCCGTTCAACTCGTGCTTCTCAGGCTGCTTGAGGCTGCAGGTATCAAGTTCACGACTATTGTCGGTCACAGCTCAGGAGAAATTGTTTGTGCGGCTGCTGCGGGCTACATCACGCCTTTTCAAGCTATCCGCATCGCTTACTTGCGCGGGCTAGCCGTTACCACGTCCGACGCTGAGCCTCCTGATGGCGCCAGAGGTGCGATGCTCGCAGCCGAGATTGCGCACGAGGATGCAGAAGAGCTGTGCAGCCTTGAAGACTTTGAAGGACGGATCTGCGTTGCGGCGTATAACGCGCCAACCAGCGTGACGATATCTGGTGATGCCGATGGTTAGTGTGCCTCTCCTTTTCCTGCTCCTCGTATGCGCGCACATGGATCTTATGGACCAGGGCCAAACTGACTGTCTGTGCGTTTATTATCAGCTTTGCAACATGTCGAGGCCATTCTCAAGGACGAAGGAAAATTCACGAGATTCCTACGCGTCGATAAAGCCTATCACTCTCATCATATGGCTCAGTTTAGCGACGCATACACCAAATCTCTCGTCGAATGTGGCTGTGCCGCCAATCCCGCGTCTAAGACGCCAGACCCGTCTTCGCCTGTTGCATGGTACTCGTCCGTGTACGAGGGTAGACTCTTGAACTGTACGGACATCACAGCAGAATACTGGGCAGCAAACCTCGTGTCCCCGGTCCGTTTTTCACAGGCTGTCGAGCGTGCAGTGAGCGAATACCACGTCGCTTATGGCGTAGAAGTGGGTGCCCATCCGGCTCTGAAGCGTCCTACTACTGCAACCATTCAAGCCATCTCCGGCACGGATCTGCCGTACACAGGATGCATGAAACGAAGTCAAGATGATACGGATGCATTTGCGGAAGCATTGGCCTATCTCTGGGAGCCGTTTTCCAGCTTCAACATACCCAACGCTGATAGCTTCATGAGAACGGTCTCGCCTTCATCATGGCCTCGCAGAAGCCTAACCAAGGTTATTCCAAGGTACTCATGGGACCACACGCGATCACATTGGACCGAAACACGCGCTACGAAAGCTTTTCTTGCCGGACCAGCTCCCCATCTCCTACTTGGTTCTCTTCTTCCGACGAGTACAGACTCGACGTTCCAATGGCAGTCCCTCATCAAGCCCCAAGACGACAAGTGGCTTGAGGGTCACGACCTTCAGGGCCAACCTATCCTCCCCGCTGCCGGATACGTCGCGATGGCCATGGAAGCAGCTCTGCACGTGACAAGAAAGCGTGTTGCGCAAGACGTTAAAGTCACTGTGCTCGAGGTCCTGGATCTGAGTATCGATAAGGCCATTTCGTTCGACGACAAGAACAGCATGGCCGAGCTACTTGTCACGCTTAAAGTGACACACCAGAGCGCCGAGCAGCTGGAGGCGGAAGTTCATATTGACTCTGCCCTTGATAGAGAAACAAAACCCTCCAATTCGGCGAATGGACGCGTTGTTGCCACATTTGGCTCTCCCTCAATGTGTTTGCCGCGGCGAGGCTTAAATGAACCACTGCACCCCAACCACATCGACATCAGCAGCTTCTACAGAGAACTCGAACTTCTGGGTCTCGACTACACCAAGAAGTACCGTGGTGTCCATGAGTTGCGCCGAGCAGATGGCAGGGCAGCGGGACGGCTCTCGCAGTACCGACTTGGAAACAGTTCCGAGCAGGGCATCCTCCTTCACCCAGCCACGCTGGATACGGCTTTTCAGGCCATCATGGGCGCCTTTTCGTACCCTGGTGACAAGGCTTTGAGGTCCACAGTTGTCCCTGTACACATTGACAGGATTGCTTTGGTCCCCGGAGCTTGTGCATCCGCATTGGGCTCTCATGATGAAGTTAGTATGCGTTTCAACGCTACATGCTCGTCTTTCAAAGATTCGATTCTGTCTGGAGACGTTGAGGTCTTTGATGACAATTCTGCTATCCTTTTTCAAGTGGACAACATCGTTCTTCAACCACTTTACAAACCGGATCTATCTAGTGACCATCTCATGTTCACCAAAACGGTGTGGGGCCCTTATTCACCTGATCGCATCCTAGACCGTCCCGAGTTTTGGGCTACTGCTGAGGACAAGCGAATGATACCTATCATCGAGCGCATTGTATACCACTATGTGAAGGATTTTCTAAATACACTCACACAAGAGGACCGTCAGAATGCAAGCCCCGGACTCCAGAAGTACATTCACTGGAACGAGCAGGTGTTGGAGAAAGCTCGAGAATGGAAGACTACCTTTTATGAGCCGAACTGGGAGATGGACACATCGGCTGATGTGCAAAAGCTCTGTGAGGAGTAAGTTCCGTTTTCCCCAGTCCTCAGAATGCATCACGTAAGTGGAACCTAACACCATCACTCAGAAATTGGTGTCACCCCTACGTCCGTCTCGTCAAGAGGGTCAGCGAGAACGCCATCTCCACAATCCGCGACAATACGAACCCTTTTCATTGGATGAACGCGGATGGACTTCTTAGCGAGTTCTATGCCAGTCCTCTCAGTAATGGACCTTGTTGGAATTACGGCCAAGATCTTGTTGGCCAGATTTGCCATCGTTTTCCAAATATGAACATCCTGGAAATTGGTGAGATTCGCCTACCTAGAGATTCGTGAAATCGATATCCAAGAGGTCCACATGCTGACGCTCAAACAACATACAGGCGCCGGCACCGGCTCAGCTACACGTTACGTTCTCAATATCCCCCAGCTGGGATTCAACAGCTACACCTTTACTGACATCTCAGGAACCTTCTTTGACAAGGCTCGTGAGGTCTTCTCGCAGCACAAAGACCGCATGGACTTTCGGAAGCTGGACATCACTCGGAATCCGGTCAGTTTCGCCAGTTTCTTTCTTAACATCATCTCTGCCACTCACAATTTTGATTGTGTCATCCGTGTACCCAGGCGCATTTGCTAACATCTCGAGCTATGCAGGCGGAGCAAGGCTTTACACCCCACTCATATGATCTCGTAATCGCGTCGTCTGTTCTCCACGCAACACCTCGTCTCGTAGATACTATGACGAACGTAAGGTCTTTGCTCAAGCCGGGAGGCCATGTAATCATCGCGGAAGCCACGTTTAAAGAGTATCTACGCACCAGCTACATCTTCGGTCTCTTTCCAGACTGGTGGGCTGGCTACGAAGAAGGCCGCGTCCTCGACCCTTTTGCATCATATGAGGAATGGGACAGCATTCTGAAGCGATCTGGGTTCTCGGGTATTGACAGCCGCACATCCGATCGCGAAAGCTGGGTTTTCCAAAACTCTCTGTTTAGTGCGCACGCCATCAACCCCAAAGTGCAGCGGCTAGACAGCCCCCTTCTCAAGGTGCCCAATGGTCAAAACCACGGAGCGGATATGCCGCAGCTTGTTTTCATTGGCGGCCTCTCTGATCGCTCGTCAGCTTTGCTCGGCAAGCTTCAAGACACATTGACTCACCGTCGGATCTTACGGCTTGACTGCTTGAAAACTATCCCCGAGCAGGAGGCACGGCTTGAGACAGGGTCCACGTTCATCGTGGTCTCGGAGCTTGACGACGAAATGTTTGATAAGCTCAACGACGTCAAACTCGAAGCTGCCAAGTCGCTTCTCTCCGGTGATTACGCCAAAGTCATTGTCTGGATCACAGAGGCGGCTTTCACGCACAATCCTCGCCAGGCTATGACCATTGGCCTCCTTCGGACGATACAGCTTGAGAACCCACAGATCAATGTCCTGAACATCGATGTGGACGACGCTGAACATTCAGACTATCCCGCACTTATCGCCGAGCACGTTACCCAGCTCGAAGAGACGACAAGACCACCTGAAGACAGCAGTGGTTTGCTATGGTCCCACGAGCCTGAGATGTACATCGTCGATGGGCGTACTTGGATCCCTCGCATCAAGCACGACGCAGCACGGAACAATCGCTTGAACTCTGCGCGCCGTGTTATTCTCTCGGATGCCCGGCCAAGTGACACGCCCGTACGCCTCCGTCTGTGTGATGATGGCGCGTCTTCGTACCTTGAGTCCATGGACACGTTAGTCAGCCCTCGTTCATCATCTGCGCTGCCAGGTTTGGTTTCTGGTATGCATGATGATCCAGTTCACGTCCGCGTCCACTTTGCTCTCACCGGGGCGATTCGGGTTGGCAGACTGGGCTTTTTCCACCTGTGCCAGGGATTAGTCACGGAAACCAAGACGCCCGTAGTGGTGCTGGCAGACAGCAACGCATCGATTGTCCGTATTCCGCGCAGTCGCATCTTTGCCCTGCCGTCTGAAGACAAATGTATTCTGCACCATGTTGTGGCCTCTGTCATAAGTCATGGTATCATGAGCAGCGCGGTCCCCGACACCACTGTTCTCGTTTTTGATGCACCGCGGTTCTGCGTGGATGCCATTGCAAAACAAGCCAAGGAGAGGAGTATCGAGGTCCGCTTTGCCACCAGTCAACAAATAACCGAGGCAGAGCTCAGCTCGGGTTTCTCATGGACATATCTAGAGCCATGGGTATCAGAAAGAACGCTCAAGAAAATGATGACTGCGAAAGTGTCTGTCTACTGCGATTTCTCATCTGCAACAGAGCACACATCCGCAAACCTCGGCCGCCGTCTGGCCAAGATTCAAACACCACACTGCGCAAAGTACGACCTTTCTCAATTCTTTACAGGCCGTGGGTCCGGCACACTGCATGACAAATCTCACTGTTGTGACTTTGCCATGGCTATTGAGCAGGCACTTCTTGCATCCTCAGAACCTACTGATGATCATGTCACGGAAGGAACAGCAATTGTCAAGGTGGCTGATCTGCAACACGGAAAAGCCCCCGTAAACCTCTTCACTATTCTTGACTGGAGTACTGACGGCACAATTAAAGCCCGGCTTCGTCCGATTGACGCCGGGAACTTACTCGCCCCAGACAAGACCTATCTTCTTGCAGGTCTTGCCAAAACGATGGGCCGTTCATTGGCTCGATGGATCGTCACACATGGCGGTCGCTACATCGTACTATCTAGTCGCCATCCAGAAGTCCCAGACCCTAGATGGATCAAAGATATGGAGGAGCTTGGGGGGCATGTGACAGTCTTACCAATGTAAGTCCACGCAGTCGACCTCCCACATCCTGTTTCCAGCCCAAATACTCCCAGGCCTTCACTGACATTGATTGTCTAGGGATTTGTCCAACGAGAAAGACTTGGATGCGGGTCTGTTCAGAATACGCGAGACTTTGCCACCAATGGGAGGGATCGCGTATGGCCCTCTAGTCCTCCGCGACACGATGCTCCAGAATATGAGCTTGGCGGACATGAATTTGGTGCTGGATTCCAAAGTTGTCGGCGCACGTCTTCTCCATGAACGATTCTGCGACGCAAGAAAAGAGACGCCTTTGGACTTTTTCATCATGTTCTCGTCCGGAGCCACAGTAGGGGGGAACCCCGGCCAGAGCAATTACAACGCGGCCAACGCTTATTTGCAAGCCCTCGCACAGTACCGACGAGCCAAGGGGCTAGTGGTAAGTGGCCTTCAATAACTTTTACATCCCCCTGGCTCTCCTCCGGGAAAAAGATGAAGTGCAGAACATTGCTAATACGTCTAGGCCTCGACAATCCATGTGGGTGCCGTGATGGGCATTGGATATCTTGCCCGAACGCATTTCGACGAACAACTTCTGAAAGTCCACGACATGGGCAAGCTCGCAGAGAAAGACTTTCACACACTGTTTGCCGAAGCCATCGTATCAGGACGCTGCGCACTTGGGCAGGAGGAAAGCAACACCAACCGTATGTCGGTCACCGATATGTCCGATATTGAAGTCATAACAGGCTTCCCGGTATTTGAGGCAAAGAACAAGAACTCCTTCAAATTGTGGGATAACCCTCGATTTGGTCATCTTCGGACACCCGAAAATAGTCTGAGTCATGTGGGCGAAGGGTCGTTAGCCAGCAGGGTCTCAATCAAGGAACGGTTGCGCGAAGCAACAACTGTGGACGAGGCCAAAGAGGCCATCATTCGTAAGCTGAGCCCCCAGAACCTTCCACCCCTCCCCCGATCCACACTCGGTGAGATGACAGGGTGCTAATATGTCTGCTGTATCAAGATGGACTCGCTCAAAAGACACGCGACATACTCCTTATTCCTGCGGACCAAATTGTGAATCTTAGTGCCGCACTCCTTGACCAGGGCATAGACTCACTTGGTGCTGTCGCAGTATCTGGATGGTATGTGAGAGAAATTCGCCCCATCCTGGCAGACACAACACATAGTTCTGCATCGTTTTTGCCCGTGAAGTGTGCAACCATGTACTTGGCTAATATTCTATTGATTACAGGTTCTCACAAGAGCTGTTGGTCGACATACCAATCTTGCGGGTGCTCAGTGGTGCTTCTCTCGAAGACCTTGCTGAGGAAGCCGTCAAACGACTCCCTCGCGATGCTTTACCGCTGATAGTTCCCGATCCTGAAGAATGCCAACCAGAGGTGGCAGAAGGGACAAGTAGCCATAGCAGCCCGACCTCGAGCAGTGCAAACTTTTCATTGCCATCTCGGAAGCAGTCAGTCGAATCTGACGCGAGCAGTGTGATCTGGCACGGAGGCGGCGAAAACAAAGCGAGCTCGGCGACGTTGAATCGGCATCCCCTGTCGCTAGGGCAGAAGTATGTGTGGAAGCTGCAACAGCTGCTCTCGCATGATCGTACCATCTTCCACAATACTATCGCCTACTTTTTCGAAGGCTACATAGATTTGCAACGGTTGGGCACTGCCGTGGACGAAGTTATTCGCAGGCACGAAATCCTTCGCACTGCTTTTCTCGCCAACCCCGAGCCCGATACGGGCGATGATGCTTTCCAAGTTGTACTGGAGAAGCCGACATGGGGTTTGAAATGCACATCGGTCGCCAATCAAGCAGCAGCCAGGGAGGCAATTAAGCAGCTGCACGAGGAGCCGTATGACCTCGAGTCCGGCAGGCCGTTCAAAATTGTCGATTTTCACTGGTCGTCAGCCCGCCGCCATCTCTTGGTGATCGCCTATCATCGGCTCGCCGGCGACGGCGCAACTACGTCTATTCTCCTCTCCGAAGTTTCTGCCCTCTACGACGGCGCAGTGCTCCCGGCCACCGTCCCGCAGTTCTCCAAGATTACCATGAGGCAGCGCGCCGAGTATGAGCAGGGACGGTTAGATGCTGACATTGCCTACTGGATCTCCCAGTACAACAATAATAATGCAGTACCCGTCATGCCTGTTCTTGGTCTCCCACACTGTCGATTTCTCGAACGGAGCAACGGGCCTCCGTCATCTTGGTCTCAACATACAGGCGTCTTCCGCCTCAGTTCGGCCGTGTCCGCACAAGTCAAGCAGGCGGTGCGACAGCAAAAAGTCTCCCGTATGCAGCTTTTCATGGCAGTTTACGCTGCACTCCTGGCCAGATTAACGACCAAGATAAGCAGCAGTGAGGCTGTAGCTACCAAGAACGACTGCAATGACGATGACGCAAGAACGATAACCATCGGCATCGCAGACACGAACCGCGCGACGATGGAGGAAATGGCCGCGATGGGCTTCTTTGCCAACTATTTGCCTGTCCGCATAAAGACAAGAGAAAAGGAAGGCATGTCACCATTAAGTCCTTTCGAACAGCTCGGCGTCATCAAGAAGGCAATGCGCGGGGCAATGCAACACGCGCGCCTACCGTACAGCGTGTTGCTGGAGCGGCTGCCAGTGGTCCCGAGTCTCGAAATGACACCCAAAGATTGGCCGCATGCGCCGCTTTTCCAGGCCGTGTTCGACTACGCTGGGGGCGGGATTGAGAGCGTGCACATTGGCGATGCAGTTATCACCGAGCAGGGCGGCTTGCAGGCTTCCGAGCTTGTCTCGCGCGAACGAACGCCGTATGATGTGGTGCTTGAGATTTGGGACGATGCAACGCGTGATCCGTTGGTGATTGTGAAGTTGCAATCCTCGCTTTACGGTTCCGAGGACGTGACCGTTTTCTACAATGCTTTCGTTGAACTTCTGGCAGCGTACTCGGCGGACCTGATGTCACATAGAGCATGACGAAACATCATAGTGGGCTTTCAGCTTCTGTATATGGTTGATGGTGCGGTTCAATGGGTATTTGGACAGGCGTATTGGTATTTCTTTATTCGTGCAGCTATAAATCTTAGACCATCTTTCATTCCTTCATTCCTGGTATTGACTGTCATCTGGCCGTCAGCTCCATCGTCTCCGTTGAGCTTTAATCGGCAGCTGTCTTAGAATAAGACCAAATCAGCCCCAATCTGCTCTGCGAACCTGTCCCATCTCAGGTTTCCTCCCCTTTCCCAGTATTGTTTCATGAATCCTTGAACAATTCTGCAGTTGCCCAGTCCATGTGATGTCATGGCCATCATTCTACCTGCGATCATAGATCGTTGATCATCCGTCATGGCTTCACATCCTGCGCTAAGAAGTGGCCACAGTAGGGGGATGTTGACTTCAGCATACTGATCGATGTGTCGTAGTGAGTCGATGATGGACTCGACTGCATGTTGGACCTTGTCATCTTCTTTTGGCAGGCCATCAACACGACGGTATAGAGAGATAAGGGCTGCGTTGATGAACATGTAGTGGCTGTAATCGAGTTCCGTCCGGGAGTCAGGGGATGGCGTCTGGATTTTGAGATACAGGAGTAGTACTTCTAGTGACCGCTCCCTAGGAAAGTCAACAGCGAATACCGAGTCTGTGTCGTGGTCTTTTCCAGAGATTTGATCTGGTGACCTTGACTGTTTCGATGGTGAAGATGGGGTGTCGGATAAGTCGCAGATTTCATCCAGTATTGTAACAAGGTCCAAAGATAGACCTGTGACAGAATCAATCTGCCCCGGCCCTGGAAGACTTATGAGTAACGGAGCCCAGTCAAGTGCTCCGGTCTTCTGTTGTGTGGGCAACGGCAGCCCAGAGATTCTGTTCATCAGGATCAAGTGAGTGAGCCACTTGAGGCCCAGCGACCACAAAGGATCTGACTGGTGCTGTTCGCCATCCCTCTGAACAATATGGAGAGCTCCGTTGAGATGTTGTCTGTAAGTAGTTGTATCTCCGACACAAAGACAGGTTGTCGCTAGCATTAGCGATGTAGCCAATAAGGCCGGGCTCTCGCCCCTCAATCTGCTCGTCGGGATAGCTTCACGAAGCCGTGACAGGCTCTGGACAGTTGCTTCTGTGGCTGCGTTCCGCGCATCTTGAAAGCCTCTCAATCTGAAGAAGTGATTACAGCTGGCGGCCAAGATGGCTGCGAGCATGGCAGGGCTGCTTTCTGCCACTGGTATTGCAAAATGGAGTAAGGCATCGGGTTGGAGTGGGAAGTAGATAGTTGCGGTATGCGTAATGAAATGATGGAGGTAAAAACGGTGTTGAGTGGACTGAATCGATGGGAATGGTGTTAATCGATACTCTGAGAGAGATGATGCCGGGCTTCTGGGGCTTGGAGGGGTGCTTGATGGCCGGGGTGCAGTCAACTGGGATGCACTGGAACCCGTGCTGCTGGGGGACGTTGATTTCTAGGCCTATTAGTCGCAAGTACGGACTGAAGCCAAGACATGAATAACCTACCTTCCGTATTGACGGCTTAGATATTTTGAACTCTGTCGTTTTTATGCTCAGTTCATAAGAACAGAGCCGTGGATATTTCGTGCATCGTGTGCACACTGGCTTCTTCTCATCGCACTGAAGTCCTTATCAGCCTGTAAAGTCCGATAGACGGGCAGCAGCTGCTGGGGACTGCACTGCTAAAATGACGCATTTACCCACCTTGGACTTCTTCCGGCGACATTCCGTGCAGCCTGTGCGTCGTCTCTTCGAGGGCTCCATGGATTCGCAGTGACTCACTGGCTCACGCAAAAGACAGCCCTGTGTTCTGTCTCTCCTCTCGTTCGGATGGGAAAACTTTTGACGTGGGATTGGCAAGCTGCGGCTTCGGAACTTCGGTGACGCTAACAAGAGGAGGGCGCAAAGACACGAGCAGGGCGTCACGCTAAACCGAAACAGGATGATTATGCGTCCAGGCCAATCAGAGCAGAGTTGTGTCTTTCTCACTCAGTGGGGTTGAAGCTGTTCTTCTGCATCTACAAGTACAAAGACAGGTTTCCTTCGACTCAGGCTTTTGGGTGAGAAAGAAAGGACAAACAATTTGCACCTTGATAAGAGAACACAAGAGTATTGTGGTCTTTGTTTCGGGACAATTTAAACGTCTTTTCTCATCTTTGTTGGTACCTATCTCTCTGACTCGACCCCGCTACGGCTGGCATGACACTCTCTTATTACGTCGAAACCGCAGCAGCGGCTGTTCAAGCTCGAAGCCGCATCCGCGACCACATCTACGAAACGCCTCTGATCCCGGCCAGAAAAGCAGGTCAAAAATATGGCGTCAAAGTCTTGTTCAAGGGAGAGAATTTCCAACTCACCGGATCATTCAAGTTGAGAGGGGCCACGTCCAAGCTCTCGGCGCAGGCAGCCGGTGGCCGACTGATTACGGCATCGTCGGGGAATCACGGCATCGGAGCCGCATGCGCTGCACATGCACTTTCTAGAGATGTCATTGTTGTGCTGCCGGAAACAGTGGTCCCTGCAAAGCTGGAGAAGATCAAGTCGTATGGTGTGGAGGTCATCTTGCATGGAGCGGAGACCGGGCTGGCCGAACAGTATGCCCAAAAACTCGCCGCTTCGGGAACTTACGAGTACATCTCGCCGTACAATGACCCGGATATTGTCGCCGGACAGGGAACTATCGGTCTTGAGATTCTCGAGCAGTGCAGCAATGTGGACAACATCTTCATATCGATGGGTGGGGGCGGCCTGATCAGCGGTATCGGCTCCGTGATCAAGGCATTCAGCCCAAAGACGAAGATCTTTGGCGTGTCGGCCATCAACTCGAAGGCACTCGCAGAGTCTATGGCGGCTGGTCATGTTGTTGAGACGGAGCACTTCCCCACGTTGGCCGAAGCCGTTGCCGGTGGGATGGATGAAGACTCAATTACACTACCCCTGACCATGGCTGTTGTTGATCAAGTCATTGAGTGCAGCGAAGACGAGATTGCTGAGGCGATGAGGACAATTGCTTTCGAGGAGAACATGATCGTGGAAGGCTCAGCTGCTCTGGCCCTTGCGGGGTTCAACAAAGTTGCGAAAGATTTGGCAGGAAAGACGAGCATTATTCTTTTGTGTGGTGCAAATGTTGATCAACAGGCTATCAAGAAAATTCTATATGGGGAGTCATGAGTTATCCGAATCATGTCAGAGGCCTTTGCCTACAGTCTAGGATGTGTTCGGTAGCGTAAAAATAGCGCGCCACAGGCCTGGCCGGCGGTCCGTTCCATCAAGGTCACATAGTGTATCCCCCACTCTTGCGGGGCTGAGGAGGGTCACGATCTGATAAGAGCTTCGAACCTCTAGATTAGAGCAGATTAGAGCAATTTTTCTTGCGCCAAGGCATCGTGTTGAATTTAATCTTCTTTCTACACGTACACTCCATTCCAATTTGTGAACATTCAAAAGAAGCCTCGCCCTAAATCGCATCAAACCTGGTCCTCCAGCTACCCAAACATTTGTCATGGAGATCACCATTCAGTCTGCCAAGTCCGAGGACATCCCGGCCATCGTCGAATTCATCAAACAGGCTAGGTCCGTCATGTTCCCGTGGATAGACGCAGAGTCTCAAAATGAACATGCTCAGCGAGAGCTTGAAAACTTCTCCAAGACTTACCTGGACAACCCTAACGGAGCTTTTTTGACGGCTTACGGCAACGGTCAAATCATTGCCGCCATTGGCTATGCGCCTTATGACGACCGGTTTCCCGAGCTCGGTCTCGGCCGCGAGGGCGTTGTGGAGTTTGTCAGACTCTACGTCAACCCAACCTGGCGCCGCGCCGGACTGGCCTCGAAACTTTGCGCTGCCTTGGAGCAAAGAGCGAGAGATGCAGGGATGGCGAAGTTGTATCTCCATACCCATCCGTTCCTCGAAGGCGCCATCGGATTCTGGGAGCGCCAGGGGTTTTCCATTTTGCAAGTCGACGACGACCCTATCTGGCAAACAACGCACATGAGCAAAGCCTTGTGAAGTTGAAGCAAAATTCTCATAGCCGCCAGCTTGTGTCTTTATCGCAATCATGCACGTTGGGCTTCAAAGGGCAACGAAAGTCGCTTCGTGGTGGGCCACGTTGCCTACGTCATTCAAGTAAGACAGGCTCAAATCCATTAGCTCAGCTCACATTCCTTTTCCTCCCCCCCAACAAACAAGTCAACAAACTTCTCATCCTTCCCACGTCTTTTCAAATTGAGGGGCCCAAATCGATCGCCGGGCAAGCTTCTCAGCTGCTCCATGAACACGCTGTCGGACGATATGCAGAGAAGCGGCGCAGCGTATCTCCCGCCGGAGCTTTGGGAGATGATCATCGGTAGCATCACGGATTGCGACTACCTGCCCCGCGTCTGGTTCAACTTTCGCCGCGTATCTCGGACGTTCAAGGAAATCCACCGAGCGCGTCTTTTCTTCAAATCACCTCCGATACAGCCGCGTCACGCACGTCTTCTTGGACTTCTTTGTCATGACGCCCAAGGGCGGATTCATCAGAGTTGACGAGAAGAGACTCATGCTCGATTTTGATCGACTATCCGACGACGGGGAACGCGCTGTATTCAATGAGAAGCACTTCACAAGCTTGGGCAATCTTGACAAACGGATCATGTTCAATCGACGCCGTTACAAAATTGGCGACATACTTGATGGCTTCCGTGGTGGCTGGGCAGCTTCTCATAAGCGAGCGACGCGAGAGGACCGACCGCCTTATTCTCCAAGTTATCAATGGGCAGATAGCTCGCCGCTTCCGCACATCTTCTCTCTGAGGAGAATTGCCAACGACACCGATCTTCCCGGCGAGGAGTATGATTTCGAGGATCTGGAGATGTCGTTTCTCTGGAAGCCGGCATTGAGCAAGCTTCTTGGGGAAGAGGAGTATATGAGAAAGGAACAGTTCAAACAAATGGCGACATCCGTTGATATGCGCTTTCTAGTGCCACTGTGCAGTCGCGATGCGGCAGGGGCGTCTATGTGCTACCCAACGGAGCCCAGAGAAATCCTCAATAGGACGAGAATGAAGCGCATGCGAGCCGAGAATGGCAAAAATGGGAAGCGAATTGTGACAGACGATGAGCTTTTGATGAGCAGGCATTTTGAGGCAAAGGAGATGGAAATCTTGGCCTTTAGGCATGGGTTTAGCAAGTCTGTCCTCAAGGATGAGTGGGTCATGCGTCAAGATGAAGACGGAAAAGAGCAAGGGGGCTCGCCTCTTCCAATGTCTTGCAATGAGGATAGTGATCCTTGCGATTCAGTTGGGGATTACGATTGCCCCCATGTCTACGTTCCTCACGCTATTGTCAACAAGAGCTACTTCTTCAGCTATGATTAGGGGCTTATGACCTAGGTTTGATAGCAATAGATCGACTCTGTTCAGCTGTGTGACGAAAGGGCCGGTGACGCAACATAGGTTTGCACAAGACCTATGAGTCAAAATGAATTACCAAATAGCCGCTCAGCTCCATTACAAGCTATCGGAACCGATGCCGGCCGGAAACCCTACCCGAAGCCCGTGCGGGGGATCCGCCCCGGTCCCACGATAAGGTGCGGAGTCTCCGACGGAGCATCGTTGATCTCGTCGTGTCCTTCCCGTTTCATTGACTGACGAGGTGAAAAGGAAGGTAATCCCGAAGCGGTATAGCAGGGTGTTGGGCATTGATATACTGCGCACCTCAACATCCATTTTTCGACAGTCAACAGTCACCCGTCCAACAGTCATCATGAATGGTTCCAGTATGAGAGGACTCAGCGTCATCCCGGGCTGTTTCCATGGCCCTCTTGTCTTTTCGGATGTGCCACTGAGCTTCATGATGGGTGTAGACCCAAAAACCGGCGTTGTCGTCGACGCTCATCATCGACTGCTTGGCACGTCAGTGAAGGGCAAGGCCCTGGCCATCCCCTGCGGTCGGGGCTCCTGTTCCGGCAGTGGGGCACTCCTTGAGCTCATTCTCACCGGCAATGCACCATCAGCTTTGATATTTCAGGAGCCTGAGATGATTCTGACTTTAGGTGTCATGGTCGCTGAGGCCATGTTCGACCGCCGCATACCCGTTATCTTCTTACAAGGTAACGAGGACTTTGAGAAGTTGCGTGGGGCGTCAGAGGTAGAGATCAGCGACAAGCAGTTGTTAATCATGCCCAACCAAGTGTCTTTTTCCCTTGAGCCCGGGAGCACTAGAGGAATCAACCTAAGCACATCCGATGAGAATATTCTTTCCGGTCAGCATGGAGAGGCAAGCCGCATTGCGATGGAAATTATCGTTGCCTTTGCCGCTCTCCAAGGAGCGAAATGCCTTGTTGACGTATCACAAGTTCACATTGATGCGTGTGCCTACAACGGAAAGAGCAGTCTTCATGTACCGGAGCACCTTTTATCACTCGGTGGACAGTTTGTGGTGCCTTCAACCTGCAACTCACTCAACGTCGACCGGCTTCGATGGAAGGAGCTTGGCACCGATTCAGAAGCAGTCATCATAGGAGATAAGATCGGCGAGGCTTATCTCAAGCTCGGTGCCAAGCTCAGCTTCACCTGTGCCCCCTACCTCCTCGATAGCAAGCCCAAGGCCGGAGAGCAAGTCGGCTGGTCCGAGTCAAATGCTGTCGTCTTTGTGAACAGCGTCCTCGGAGCACACACGCAGAAATACCCGGATTACCTCGACGTCTTCATCGCCTTGACCGGCAGGGCACCGTATGCAGGCTGCCATACTCCGGAGGGAAGGAAGCCAAAGATCATCATCGAAGTGGCTCAACTTCCCGGGCATGACCAGTCACTGTTCCCTCTTCTTGGCTACCACATCGGCGACATCGTTGGCGGAAAGATACCATTCATCGTCGGCATGGAGATGACGAACCCCACTATGTCCGACCTGAAAGCCTTTGGCGCCGGTTTTGCAACGACTTCCTCAGCGCCGATGTTCCACATGAGGGCTATTACGCCAGAAGCAGCTTCCTTTGACGGACAAACTGAGTCCCTGGATCGGGTAGTCGTTGACGTCAACGGCCTCCGAAGGGCCTGGAAGCAGCTCAACACCGCTTCCGATCCTTCTTTGGACATGGTATCTCTGGGAAACCCCCATTTCTCCGTAGAGGAGTTTGCACAGCTCGCCGATCTTTGCAGGAACAAGACGAAGTCGCCTAGCGTTGCTGTCATCATCACAACGAGTCGCGACATCTATCAAAAGGCACTGAAGCTAGGCCACCTCGATGTGCTGGAAGCGTTTGGCGCCCAGTTCATCACGGATACATGTTGGTGCATGATAGAAGAACCCATCGTGCCAGCGGCATCCAAGCAGATCATGACCAACTCTGCCAAGTACGCACACTATGGGCCTGGGATAGTCGGGAAGAAATTTCATTTCGGAGACGTCCTTGCTTGCGTCAGCGCGGCTTGCACAGGGTTCCGAACCGACAGAGAGATGGCGCCTAGCTGGCTGTTTGGGTCTGGATGGGAGACTTAGTGACTTATCAGTGAGAGAATACATCGGCAAAATCCCGAGATGCGTCTGAAACCGTCCGCCGTGGGGAATCGGGAGAGATAGCACGCCGGGATCCATGCCTACTCAGTGTCTCTCGGCCGAGATTTGTGGCGTAGGATGCCTTTAGCGAGGCCAATTTCTCCGTGCAAGGATCGAATCCCAGCCACTTCGCTTCTTGATGTGACGAGAAGTGCGAGAAAACGGTGGTGGGTTGCAGTGCATAAGACACGAGATTACCGAAGACTTTTCGACCGGAACCAACGGTCCTCCATCATTTTGTCTCCTCTTTGGTCAACACCACAGTGTAGGCTTCTTTGCGGACTCTAGATTAGTAGGGAGGGTACAGATACATGACTACAACAGCCCCCGGCTTAGATGTGTCTCGTTTACACCTGTTACGAATACTCGCAATTGTGCAGGTACATGTACCCTTATCATGGTGGCAGACCATAGACGAGTCTTATTCTGGTCTAATCTCAGAAATGTGCCGATATGCAATATAACCGATCATTAAGCATATTGTCTTGCGCTTGTCGTCTCCGTGGCAAATGAAAGGGGACACTGTCTGTACCGGGCTGACGAATACTGCGCGGATCTTCAAGCCAGACGATGCCACAGTCTCATGGTGATCATAAGGTATAATCAGGCCAGTTTGAGTTGATTCAGCTTGCTTCTGTTCAAACATTTTATCGGGGCCTCCGAGTAGCCACTGAAAGTCCAGTGCCACAGTGGAACAAAGATCAGAATGCAACGGCATTATGAAGATCTATTACCCTTCGTCTTTCGTGTTCAGCCACCAGATCCCTTCGGGCCCCGGGAGAGCTCAAAGCGTGCCTCAATGTTGAGCCACACCTTAGCAGGGCTCCTTATGCCCGGTGACAGTTTGTCTTGGTCGCAGACACGGCCTCTGTTGGAGCTCAGTCTGCCCAATAAGAAGCATGTTTCAACAATCTGACTGAACCTTCGCGCCGGGTTTTGAGCCTCCTACTGGCCAGGCGTCCGTTCCCTGCTAGTCTTCCTTCTCGACCGGGCGTATGGAATAATGACAAACACCGGCTTGCGGGGTTCGAAGCTGGGGTAGACGTGGCCGTCCACCCCGTATCTCGACGTCTTTACACAAGACGATGCGTGATTGGCTGCTACATAATTGTTGCCTACAGGGACGGATACACCCGTGTTACAGGTGAGAGTCGGGGGTGAGATCGTGTGGTTCCCCGCATTGCCCCAGTTCCGATGGTAATCTCAGAGCTGTCACGTCAATTGGCGTCTCCGATGTTCACGCCATGTTCATGCTTGTCAAAATACCCATGGAACTTGTGGGGTACTGCAGTGCCGACCGCTCAACGGCCTGAGCTAAACACCTTTCGGGCGTGTTTGAGCACAAGATAGGAAAGGCCAGAGAGGAGAATCCGGTTTTTGTTTCCCAGCTTAATCTTCTTACGGGGCAAAGCTTATGCATGAGCTTTGTTCAAGCACGGTATTACAGACCGTTTTAGCGCCTCTCTCGGACGTGACTTCCATGAAGGAGAGTAGAAGGAGTATTCCACCGCACGCTGTACCACCAACATGAGCTTCTGCAGACCCGATACTGACGAAACGACGACGATCTTTGCCTGCTTTTGGGAGCTTAGAGCCCAAGGATGCGTGCAAATCCCAATTTGTGGCTGAGGAGGGGTAAGCTCTCTCTCACCTCCGTCTGATGTCGAGTTCAGCTGGGCTTGCCACATGGCGCCCACATGGCCTCGCAATATCGAGTCCCGAAAGTGAAGATCATGGGATCAACCTAGTTTGAATGCCATCCTTGTTCCCGACTACGACGTCTTCCCCAGGTCGAATGAGTGAGAGAGTGTTCAAAACGACCCGGTAGTACGCCGCCCATGGACTAGTCAGGGCACCTTTATTTGGACTCTCTATTTAGTTTCATGTCGTACCTTGGCTTCCAAGCTAGGGCTTGATGTGGCTCAGCCTTTACTGAAGATCTTCTGTGGCCATGTTGGTTTCCAAGTCTCTACCACCCAATGTCCGCAGGCAAAGAACCAAAACAGGTAAACATCTCACAAGAAACTAGAGATCGTGATTCAAGAATTAGTTACTAACACAACAGCCAGGTTGCATCTCATGGTATGCCGCTGTTGACCTATCTGATTCCACAATGATCTAATCAACGTACAGCAGAGAAGCGCGGAAGAAATGTTGCGAGCGCAAGCCCGAGTGCACGCGCTGCTCCCTCAAGGGATTGACTTGCACATATGAAGTCGTTGAGCCAAAGCGGTCTAAGACTACCAAGAGGGCGTCACCATCATCGAAGAAGGCTCGGAACATCTTCGCGGGAAGGGAACTCAAGCCTGAGGAGGGGTTCATACATACTTTCGCAGTCACAAAACCAACTCCCAGCCGTCCACCTGAAGAGACCATTGACCTCACGGTCTCTCCGCAGCTGGACGTAAACTTCTGCAACATGGACCTAGACGAGTCAATGGAGTTGTTCGACACTTTGGGGAACAGCAGCGAGTCAGAGGTCTGCTCAATCCTCACCAACAGCATCTTCGACGATTCAGTATCAGCCCGATCTGGCTCAGCAGACCCCATGTCACTGTCTCTTGAGCTACCCTTCCCAATATTCTCCGACCTGACAACAGACTCACAAAGTCGAAAGCTCTTGCATCACTTCTGCAGCACCCTGTCACGGCTCATCGTCTTTGTCGAACAACCGCACAACTCTTTCCAGGACCTCATCCTACCCCTTGCCTATGACAACTCACCTGTCTTCCATGCGATCTGTGCTTTTGCCTGTGGCCACTTGGAGCACACTGGCGTCTATGAGTCTAGACACTCGTCCGAGTACAGAGCTTTGGCGGCGAAGGGTGCGTTCGAGTTGGTGCAGTGGAAATGCCAGCATGAAGAGGTTCTCGCAACCGTTATGCTGTTGGCATATTATGAGGCAGTGAGTGCGGCACTTGTGCTTGAACTTGGGAGGATTGTAGCTGACTTCCTAGCTCACGTCATCTAATGCCCCTGACATGTTCGTCGGACACTTGAAAGCAGCGTTTCTGGTCATCAGCTCCATCCCCGAATCCGAACGAAGTACTGCAGTCTGTTTTCTGGAGAAGGTACGGGGACATGACGGAACACACCAGAGTTGCTCAACTGACAGCATACAAAGGCCTTTCACTACTATGACGTGATCTCTTCCTTATCACTTGGGATGAGTCCCGTTTCAGCAGTGTCGGTGTCAGACTACACATACCCGTTAGCAGTCATGACCTCCCCAAAGCCGAACGACACCACCCACGCGGATCCTTTCATGGGGCTAGTGGGCGACCTATGGCCAGTATTGTACCGTCTCAGCATCGCAATGTCGCTGAAGGAGGATCTTGAAGCAGCTATCGCAGCCAATCAAGGAACCAAAGCAGCCGTTCTCAGGGTCGAATACGAGTCAATAACAAAATCGACAGAGAAGGCCCTTCAAAGCTGGCAGCCATCCGTCGACCCGAGTAACATCTTGATGTCTCTGGAGGAAGATGGGAACGCTCAGCATCAGCATCTCGAGGCCATGGTTCATAACGCCCAAGCCTATCGCCATAGCGCACTGGTCTATCTACATCGAACTGTCTATGGCTACCCGATCAGTCATCCCGAAGTTCAAAAGAACACTCATCTGTCTCTGGAAAGCTGCATGGCGGTCATCGCCTCTGGGGGACCCGCAAACGCGCTCTTGTGGCCTTTATACGTGGCTGCATGCGAGGCCGTGACGGATCATGACCAAGGTCTAGCAAAATCAGTGTTTATGGAGGTCGGAAGAAGGCAAGGTATGGTCAATATTGAACGGGCGCAGGGGGCTGTTCTTCAACGCTGGGTCGGGGTAAGCGGAAATAGCATAGCCGGGCCAGACGTGGGTACGTGGACCCGGATTACCGCAGGCACAGGATACGGCATCTTATTGGGCTGATGGGACTGCGCCAAAACTACCATCCATACTAATCTAAGTAATATGTAATGTCTGGTCTCTGAAATCCACCTCTTTCCACAACAGTACGCATGTGATGGATAAATCTGTCTGAACGAGGAGCTCTTTTCGACGCAGATGCTCTGGGGCTGTAAGCTGGATCTGATCAATCACGGAACAACACGTCTAGGCCCGATGGGAATGAGGCGAACCGCTGCGCCACAACGGCAGTGCATCTGCATGACGCCCTCCCAAGGCTCTATCGTTCGCCAGCCTGTTATCGGACATACAAATTAATCATCTTTGGCGACCGCCCCCCACCCCTCCCTCCTCAAACCCCCTTATACATTGTCTTCTTACCCTTCCGAGCGAAACTTCAATTTGTTTGCTCAATTTTCAAATCAGGTGTCCGATTAAATTTCATCGCTCAATTAACTCATCCATTCGTCGCTATTCTTGATCAATTACTTGGACAGCGCATCAGACACAGATCGTTGGAATCTGCTACGGTAGAGTTGCTGGGGACGGTTGTGGGCGTGATATCCCTAGGCCTCCAGGTATGTTCGGGAGTCACGAAATACCTTGACGGCATCAAAGACCACCGAGACGAGATAGCCTCCGCTTCTCGTCTATGCCATTCACTCCAGACAGACAGGGCAATTTCGATTCAGGGCGACATGACTGTCCTCACAATGGAGACAAATACTACGGCAAGCGAGAATCACATCGGCGGCAAAGTGGACAACTTGCTTCTGCAATCAGCACAATGCAATGACACGATGACCTTGATCAACAACAACCTGTCTCAAATCGGTGTCACATTTGACTCGTTCAAGGCCCAGGCCCAGAAGCACATGGAGGTCTCAACCGTTGGAATGTCTAGTATGCAAAGCCAACTTGCGGAAATTATGCAAGCTTTGGACTCGACTGAGTCAGAGATGGTGTTCAAGAGGGTGGTGTCAAAACCAGATGCTCTAAGAATTGTTTGTGACGACGTCTGCTTGGGCCAAAAAGTACCAGGAACTATGACTTCTAATGGAAACCAGGAGAGGATCAGCTATCCTGAGCTACAATATATGGGCTGCCAATGTAAGGGACGACGAACTCGGAAACAAATGAGAAGAGGCCTTGGACCTGGCTTCTTCGTGAAAGAGAGTTATCAGGAGAAGGCACACGCGTTGGGATGTCAATTCTCCGAGATTGGCTCATCGGAAACTCGATGGTCTCTAGGAGTTTCTGCAACAGTCTTCCGCAACATTTTGTCGACGGCAATTACAGTCTCTATGTCTTTGTCGCATGGAGCGGGTGGCTTCAGCCTATCACCAACATTCAGGGTTTATCATGTGAACCACTGGTCTCCAGTTCTGAAAGTCTTTGACAAATTATGGAGGTCTGCCTCAATGGATCCCGAGACATTTCCCGCCGTCCTAAACAAAGGAATCAAGGCCTTACAATGGATGTTCAAGACTGGCAATGCATCTCCGTTTGATGTGGATAGCGACGGTGAAAATTTGCTCCATTATGCTTCTAGTGGACTGCGGTTCGGTTTTCACCCTCGATCGGACATGGGGCTGATTAGTCCTCTGTTGAAATTTCTCGTCGATATTGGAGTGCCAAGGGACCGTCCCTGCTCGAGGGGGAGGTATGTCTCCAGCGTTTAGTGTCGACATGAAGCAATACACTAACTAAGTACCGCATTATGATTACAGGTTGCCTTCCCACCAGCTTTTTTCGTGGATGGCTTATTTCTCCGCCTATGATTTGGAACATCACACGAATGTATCCGACGACTATTCACGTAGGTCTAGGACGCGAAACTTTGATATCTTATGGCCTGATGACTTGTCTCTCATCTCGGTGTCTTGGGGGAAACGCTATGGTGCCGCAATTGATGTAGGCTTTCTCCCTCAGCTGGTCAGCACGTACCCAACAATGTCTGAATGTAAGGATTCAAATTTCGACGAAGCTCGTTCTTCATATGGCTGACATTTCATCAAAGGGTATGGCGATGACTTCCATACGATGATACTGCGACAAGACGAGATTTCATTGATTGAATTCCTACAAACCCATGCTCTAGGAACCGAACTCTCGGAAACTGGTGCCTTCGACTTAACACCATTAGAGCTTCTCGCACTCTGGCCTCTAGGTCTAAAGCTTGTTCTCCAAAAATTAGGAAACTCCGCTGTATCTTCCAATGATAGTGGATCGGCTAAGGCGCTGAATTGTGCTATGCTCTGGAGTGGGAGAAGCTGTTCTGGGTCTCGGGAAACGAGATGCTCAGTATCATGCCACTGTGCTGAAAGTGTTAGGTTACTCTTGGAAGCTGATTGTCGAATTTCAATTGATTACATCTGGGCGTCTATGCTATCAAAAGCATCGTTGAGGTGCCAAGAGTTAGTAATTCAAGCTTTGACAAGTCGGCGAAACAAGCTGACAGAGTTGGCTCTGGCGGAGCTTTCCCCGAAAGAGATTGAGAAATTTGGACTCAGCAAGGGTGTCTTGCTAGATATTCAGACAAATGACGTATTACACGCACTGAACCAGCATGGTATCAGCATACACCAAAGACTTCACACGGGGATTTCCCAGCGACAGCAGGATCGTCAAAAGTCGGCATCCATATACCATGTGTTGTTGCAAACTGGAACGGAGGTCGGACGCCTCGTTGACATTGCCTATTCAAAAGGATTTCACGAGGTTGACGTACCTGACGCGGACGGAAATACGCCATCGATGTTTCGTAGTCCCAGCTGTCACCTCACCAATCTTTTGGCGATGAACAATCATGGAGAGAATCAAGATATCGAAATACCTGAATCTGCCGCTGGGTACACTGCGAAGCATCGAATTATGGACTCAGTCGACTGGGCAGACAAAGAAGTACATGGGAGAAACTTTGAAATTGTTGCTCAAAACCAGTATGAGTTATTCAGAAACTCTTCACTCACAGATATGTGTCGCTGCCATTGCTCCGTCGACGGCTGTCACCCGTACACAATCATGTGGAAGAGTTATAGATCCAATTGGAGGGTTAGACGGCGAAGTAACCTTTTGAAGTGGATTTTGTCACTGTTGTGTCGTTTTGAGAGCCATGGGGACCCGGATTGGCATTTCAAATCAGTTACGATACGAGTCGCTACGTTCGAAGCTCTGAAGATACGCCATACGTGCTGTTCTCCTTGGGGAACGAAGGGACTCCTTCAAAGGACGAGGACATCGAAGAGCTCTGGGAGTAAGACGCGCCCCTGATCCATATACTTGAAGACCTTGTTTCTGAGTTCGAAAGGAAGCTAGCGCAGACTAAGGTTCGTCTTTCCGACTTCCTTAGCACACACTGGAAAGACAAGATGCACCGCGTCACCGAAGACCTCAATAAACAACATCTCACAGATGAGAACATTAAGGGGATTGAACGACTTGGAATTACCGTTAAGGTTGAAGTCGAAGGCCCCGAGGAAGAGGATTACTACTACAAGCCGGGATATTGGATCAAGGAGTTGGACAAGCTAATGGAGTGAAGCTTCACAGGCAGGACTTCTAGAATCATGCGTTGGCAGCCTCCTGCGGTCGATCCTAACATTGGCATCGAGAATTAGATCAAGAATGACCAGAAAGTGGAGAATTTCACTCTTGGACAAGTAGCTACGAGGAACGATCCGGGTACACGTAGAAAGGATGACGCATATCTGATGCACCTAAAACGCCTTGCAGGCTGAATCAGCCGTACCATCGAGGAAACTGCACTTTGACTATGTTCCGTTATTGGGTGCCTGGTGGTAGGTGATTCTGATCAATCAATAAAGACCACGTTCGGATCTGGATCACGCACCTCAGCGAGCCAGTGGCTCAATGCTTCGCGAGTGTGAATTATCTGCATGCCAGCCATACCGCCTCACTTTAGCGTCGCTTTCTCATTCGTTAGCCTGAAAACAAGTCCGAGGGATTGTCGCGATTTCTCCCCATCCTTCACTCTTTCCCTCTTTCCTTTCCTTTTTCTCTTCATACTCCGACTTTTTGACTGCTGCCGGACGGGCGGCCAAAACATGTTGGATTTCAACAAAGCAACTCGGTATAACCCCGCCACTTATTCTTCAACGCAATACGTATTCCCTTTACCGAAGGGACGAGGCAGCACAGATTGTTGGTGGAGCCTCCAGCAATGGCAGAAGTACTCGGGACGGTCGTCGGCGTGGTTTCCCTCGGGCTCCAGGCCTGCTCTGGGATCATCAAATATCTCGACGGCATCAAAGGGCATCAAGACGACATCGCCTCAACTTCTCGGCTTTGCGAGTCATTGCAAAGACGACTATGCCTACTAGAGGGTATACAAGATGATATTGCAGCCGCAGCAAATGGTGCTGGATTTGAAATTGGTGAAGCTATATCATCCGTAAAGACAGAGTTTACCAATTTGTCATCCTTCATGGACACCGTTCGCTTGAATGAGGACCCCTCGAAGTCCTTTTCGGACTGGCTCAAAGACCGGAAGACGAGGGTAACCTTTCCATTTCGACGGGATCATCTTAATCATCTACAGAACTACCTTGGACAAGCAGATAAGGCTTTGCAAGCAGCGCTCCAAATGCAAGAAATGTGAGATTAAATGGCCATCTTCTAAGGTGCTATTATGGCTAACGCAGTGCTAGTCGGATGGGGATCAACAGTGTGAACGCACTTGGCAGCATTGAGAACAGATTGACCAAACTCAACACATGTTCCAGTTTCAAATTCGACGGTATACTTCAACACTTAACCCAGACTCGGCATTATTTAGGAGCATTGTCAAACAACATGTCGCGAATGACCTTAGATCTCGAGGCTTTCGTCCCCCACGTTCAGGAACATATGGAGAACACAACCATCCAAATGGCCTGCTTACGGAGTCAAGTCGGAGATGTCCTTCAAGTGCTCACTTCTCCTGACGTTGCTATTGTATTGAAGCGACTGCTGTCAAAACCTGACGTGTTACGGTCGGTCTGTACCGAAGCTACACTCAACCGACAAGGATTAGGGATCAGGGACTCCCATGAAGACATTAAACGCAGTGTCACAGGCGCAAACAATCCCTTTCGCTGTCAATGTAGATCAAGCATAATGAGGACCCAAAGCGTGCGACGTTTTGGCCCTGCACGTTTTACGACTAAGCGTTACGGGCATCAAGTACATATGTTGGACTGTCCACTGGCCGGCATTAGCCCTTCACGAAAGGGTTGGTCTTTCGTTATATCAGGCAAGTTGTCTCGGCTAGTTTTGTCGGCCGCAATCGATATTCCAATGGCTGCATCTTTCGGTGCCGGAGGCTTTAGTCTATCGACTCCGCTCACGATGTATTGTTTTCGAAACAATTCTCCAGCATGGAACACCGTCGAGATCATTCAAAAGGCTTCTATAACGCTAGAGTCCGGAGACTTCTCGCTCGTGTTGCAGAAAGGAATTGACAACTTGAGATGGATCTTCACAACTAAAAAGGCCTCCCCTAAGGACATCCATTCGTCAGAAGGAACATTGCTCCACGCTGCCTGCTACCCAGGTGTCGCCGTCAATATACGCTCCGCAGAGAGGCTGAAGCCTTTAATTCAATTTCTAGTCGCAGTTGGTGTGCCTAGAAACCATCCAAATTCGAATGGAGAGTGAGTAAACAGCCATTCTGCTCGCTTGAAGCACTAGCAATTTCTTATTCAATTCATACCAGGGTTCCCCTCCATCTTATGTTTTGGTGGTTTGCCTTCAGCACACAAATCATGTCTGAATCACACGAGTTCTCAGGCGAGTCGATCTTGATGTCTGATCTTTTGATTCCTGATGAATGTGATACACATGTGTTTCATTACGGGATATCATATATCGCATTCTTCCAGGAGTTATTCATGCGATCTCCAGGAGACATGCCATGTAAGTATCATTCTCCTACTAGTGGTGATTTGTCGAAGCTGGTGACGCTGCCTGGAAAGACTATGGAAGTTGTCTTCACACAACCATAGTGTATGAAGATAGACCGGCGTTTGTTAAAGCGTTGCAAAAAGGTCTTCATACATGGCAACTTTCAGAACCGAACACTTTCGGATTCACGCCACTAGAGCTCCTCATCTCGTGGCCAGAAGGCTTCGATCTTCTCATGGTTCATTTGGGAAGCCACATTTTGCGTAATGCAGACGAAGGAAAATATTCCAAGCTGTTCTACGCCCTTATACAGAGCCAGAAGCTTTGCTTGGAACCAGACGATTCTATGTGTCCCACTAGCTGTCTCTGTGCAGCAATGGTCTTCAAGTTGCTGGAGTTGAATTGCCGAATCGATCTTGAGTATCCGTTGATGGACTGTTTGATGTCGGCATCCGCGCGGTGCCAAGAAGCTGTCATTCATCATCTAGGCAACCGACGAAAGGCTTTGATGCAACTTGCATTGGGAAGTCTCTCGCCAACGGAGATCAATGAGTACGGAATTTCAGAAGACGCGATCTTAGACAGCCGAATTCATGAAGTTGTCCAGGCACTTGAGCGGCGAAATGTTGAAATTCCGAGATGGCTTCGGACAGGACGTATTACACCTAAACATCACAGACGCGCCTCTATCTATCATCTCATCTGCTATTCAGAACCCTTTATTAATAGAATGGACATCTTGGGTTTCGCGTTCGCAAATGGGTTTAAAGAAGTTGATGCGCCTGACGTCAATGGGAGAACGCCATTGATGATCATTACATCCCCTTCATTATTCCAGGCTTTTATGAAGCTCGGAGCGGACCCATTAAAGCAGATGCCAGATTGCGTGCCAGGGTATACGGCGACACATGGCATTTTCTTTGTATCAGAATTATCAGAATGGCCGGACATCGACCCCAAGGAATTTTGGGCTTTAGTTCGCAGCAGTGGTAAGCTGGCACAGCACAGATCTCCAGAAGACGAGTGCAGATGCAAGTGCTCTATGAACGGTTGCCATCCATTAACAATCCTATGCAAAGCGCGCCTGTCTAATTCGTGGGTCTCAAGATATGGATGGAAGAGAAGAGGTCTGGCGACTCGTTTGGGAGATTAAATGGCCAACTCCGAAAGGTTTTGGGGCTTGGACCCTAGCTCCGTGGCGATTGTAATACGAGTAGCTACGTTCGAGAAGCTGTCCATCCGTCACACATGCTGTCGGAACGGCTGGCGGACAGGTATCGACGAACAGGAGATCAATAATCTTAACGACGAAGACGCTATACGGATTAAGTACTTGGAAGACTTGGTTCCTGAGTTCGAGGCAGCGTTCGAGAGCATGGAGTGCGACGTCTCTGAGTTCTTTGAGACCTACTGGAAAGACCGCATGTCCGAAGTTCTGGATGAGCTGGATGGGAAGCCTCTGACGAAAGAAAATCTGCAGGGAATCGAAGATCTGGGGGTTAGATTGATATTTGAAGATGACGAAAGTTCAGTAGAGTCGGAGATGTCTTCGGTTGGGTACTTCATGGAAGAGCTAGATCGCATAGCTGATGGGCTTGGGACTTAGAAGGGACACGGAGTAAGCCGGTAGACTGATTGAGTATCGGAGTCTGTTTCTGTTCTGGGTTGGGCCTCGTCATATCTAGGGTGTCTCCCATCTAAGTAAGATCTAACGCAACGTAGCGGTTTTTCATGCCAGGTGACATGTCTTGCTCGTTGCTAGATTCATCATCCTGCTGAATACGACATTGGAGTTTGTCAGTCTGGAGTTGGAGTTTGGCGCCCTCCCCTGGTTGCGTCACCTAGGTCGCTGCCTTGAAGGTCATGTTGTTTCGCGTGATCACGAGCTTCACAACGAGCAAGCATCTTCCGTATCCCACTTCAGTGGCCCAACCCGGTGCGATATCAGCAGAAAACCCCCCAAAGTCATTCAGCACTGTCTTGGGCGTAGTATGATAGACAAACGGCGGGCAAACAGTGCAGATCTGTCTACTCTCACACACACTGAAGGTCGTTCACAGGCCTCGGGTGCCGTTACTTGCACAGGCACCCTCCTGGCGAGAACTCACGGGCATGGGCAACAGTGGTGAACGTTGAAAGAGGATGCATAGCGTCCATATTTTGATTCGTGATATTTGATCATTATCTCCCCCCATAAGGGTATTGTTGTAAAAAGAACATCGCTGGAAAGACGTCACCGCGCGAGTCTCATGACGTCCGATGGCGACGTTTCTCATCGGACAGGGCCTTTTGAAGTCATCACCATCAGTCATTGCAGTTCCCAAAAGAAGTAGTTTTAAGTTCGTTCCCGTTCCTGCCTACGCACCTCCTCCTGGAAAACATTCCGCCCGGGCGAGTGGGGCGGTGGACTCGTTGGTTCGAGTTGGATATTCGCGTCGTTCTTCAGTCCGCGGCTTCTTGGCGGACCGGCGACGGTTTCGTGGTATTTTGCTGCTGCTGCGGCAGCGGCGGCCGCGTGACGGCGGCGTCGGCGGAAGCATAGCCAGAGCATTACGCCGACGATGGCTAGGGTGATGAGGATGACGGGGAGTATGATGGCGACAAGGTTCGGACTTGAGCTGGAGCTGCCGTCGATGTCGAGTGCTGGGCGGATGGTGAAGACGGGACCGGTGACGTTTTGCTGCTCGTCTGTGATGGGGTCGTTGTACATGAGGATGAGGGTCATGTTATTCGAGTCTTTCTCTTCGAGATCGCCGACGCGTGGGGTCCAGTACGCCCATCCATCGCCGCCGCGGATATTTGTTACGGAGAATGCGGGTGCCGCATCCATATTTCCGGTGTTACTGACATCATACCCGACGATTCCAATTGGCGTGTTTGGGTCCTCGAAGAAGGTAGTGTCCCAGGTGACTAGAGGGAGAAAAGGTTAGTTGGGGGAGGGGCCGCGACTCAGACTTGATTTAAGCTTACTGTAGTACGTTGTCTCCACGTGCAGAGTACTACCACGTCGCGGCTGGCAGAAGGGAGCGTCGGTGCCAGGGTTGTTGTTGCATACGGAAAATACTCCTCCAAATCCTAACGTGTTGCTGGCTTGCGGCGGCGGAGGCACGCCGGTGCTTGTTGTGAGAGCGCCGTTGGTCGCGGTGACGGTGAACACGCTGCCGGTAAGCGAGTACGGCGGCGGGCTGAGGGTGGTGCGAGCGCCATTGCTGGTGACGACTGATGGTGTGATGGTTTTCGGTTGACCTTCCTCATCGACGGTGATCCATTCGTTGACGGGGCCGGGGCCTTGTCGAGCTTCGATGGCGACGGCGGATGATGTCGCAAGTAATGTTGTCACAGCGAGTGCTGACAGGAGGAGTCGTGTATTTGAGAACATGGTCTGGACTCTGCGTGGGTCAAAGGCCGGAGGAGCTTAGACGTCGTGTTCGGGGAGGAGGCATTCGGCCTTCGTGTGGTATGCCGTGCCACTATTCCGTCTATCGTCCGTCGCAAAATAATAGGAATCGGGGATGGTGAAGAAGCTCGACACGGGACGTCTTAACAGACGGAGCGACGACCGAGGAGAAAAAAAAAAAACAGAGCAGATCGACTGATGAACAACCCCTAGGACAGAATGCAGCCGTACCTTGCTGGGCCTGAAATAATAAGCGGCAGCAAGGGAGCGGAGAGATGGGACCCAGCAGGAGCAGATGGTTGCCGGCTGGGGGACTCGCAACGCGTCATACGAAAGGAAAATGGAGGGGCATCTGGCGGTGGCCTGTCCCTCTCGTGCAGCTATTACTGCGTGCTCCAAGCAAGCAAGGCTAGGCAAAGCAGGCAAAGGCTCTCTTGGCTTCGGGCTTTGGATGCTTGGGTGCTTGGGGTGGCTGGCGGCAGCGGCAGCAGCAGTGTCCGTAGCAGCAGCGAGAAAAAAACTGGCAGAGAAGAAGCAAACGATAGTGACGGCCGGCGGTGGGCTACCGTGGGCATATAGGCGCTGAAATGGAGTGAATCAGGTGGAATGGGCTTGCTTCTTGTGCTCCGCCTGTCCCGCTCCCAAGGTCTTTGGCGAGGCGCGGCGCTGGCATCGGCACCAATGAGGAGGATTCTGGGCGTGAGGGCGCATGCTTGGCAAGAGACAATCGCGGGCATGGCACGGCAGCGTGGCAACCGGTTGATAATGGGCGGAGACTGCCAAGGAGGCTGGTGATAGGTTGAGTAATGGGCTCAGAGGCACCAAGAGGGTCTCGGGGGTCTTGTGGTGGGAGCTTGGACGGCTTGGACGAGTCGACGAGCACGTTGTTGTCTCGGCAAGCTCCAGTATTGCTCTTGGTATTTCTTGGGTGCTGGTGGTCGAACTTAGAATGCCCCTGTCGATGCGGTATTGGCGTTTCTGGGCACATGTCTCACGGCATGTCGACGGTTCGATGTAGACGAATGATCAGAGCCCTTCACGCGATGCCGCCGCAGACCTCGCCGTTGAACCGTTGCGTTTCCATTGCCGCATTGCCGTGGTCGCGACTGATTGCCGGTCTTGTCCCGTCCACCGCATGTTGAACGATGCACTTTAGTCTTTTTCATCTCGTCTCGCTGTAATGAGTGTTGGTGTCTTGACTCTTGACATCCATCTGGCAGCTCAAACCAGGCCGCGCCAAAGCCTGTGCGCTGATTTTAGCTCGGGCAAGCCGCAGACGAACACCAGTCGCACATTTTCCTGGGCAGACAGCGACTGAAGCCCCCCAAGCCGGGACTGGCGACAGGCAATGGAACGCCAAGGATTGGCTCTTTGGATTCGGCATGGAGGGGCGATACGACGGCGACAGGGAACATGGCGATAGGGTCGGGGCCACGGATTGCGGTAGACTCGAATGCGGGGGTGGCCAGCAAGCCCTGCCCTCCACCCTAAGCAGTCTGCGCAGCCAATGTCTTGCGCGAAATCAGCGAGGGCGACAAGGTGTCTGCCTGGGTTCAGTGTCTTCAGAGGGCTGTTTCTGGTCGTTCCAAAGCCATCGCCGCCGTCCTCGGGATGCGATCGCCTAGCGCAATGTCACCAATGACATGGGACTGACGCTCGTACCGTACCGTCGAAGTGGCTTCTGGAAGGGATCTTGAGGGACGTTTCGGGATATTTCGAGATGACAGGCAGCGGGGGGAAACGCCCATCTGCTCGATTGACGCTTGATGAATGATTCATCCCATCATTACGAACGTCGAGGATGCCCTGGGGTTGCCCTCTGGACGAACCAGGTTGTGTAACCGCCCAGGAAAGTCTAGCCGGATCGCATGCCCGCAACTGTGTCAGAGGCAGCTGCACGACACGCTGACTGACTTGGCTGAAGTTCGAAGAGGTGGGATGATTGCGATTGCGATTGCGATGGCTCGCAGCATGAAAGGAGAAGACTCAGTGGTTGGTCAATTCGAGGGCGAAGAAGGAATCCAGAAACAAAAGGCCCTTGGCTCTTGGCTCTGCTCCCTTGGGACTTGGTTGCCAAACGGCAGGGCTTGGCTTTGTGACCATCGAACTGTCGATCTGGGCGAGCAGCTCGCTAATCCAGGCCATGTGGATGCTGTGCCGTAAAAGTGAAGATTTTGCGCATTGGATCTGGTGATGCGGGTTTGAATGACAGAAACGGGCATGGAAATGCGCCGGCCACAACACAGCGGAAGGAAGGGCCCCTGTGTTCCTTCCCACACTTTTCGGGTAGGGGCCACCCACCACTGCTCCTTCCTGCAATGCGTTGATGCACTGGACACACACTTTTCCCCTCGTCGCCTCCAACAAACTCGGACACCTCCCGTCGCCATCACCACCACCTCCTCCATCAACCTCCATGAACAAGATCCCGCATCCTTGGACGCTACCAGACACCCGCCGAGACACCGTTCAGGAACCATCAAATGACATCCCGGACTAGCAGCGGTGGTGAGCCTAATTTGGCGCCACGAAACATTCAGCTGCACCCAACCGCAGAGAGACAGAGAGACATGCGATGACGCCCTCGCTTGTTGACGATGTCTCTAAGGTCTCTTCCATGAGGTCCTCGCTCGCTATTCGCAGGAGCATCTTCGCATCGGCCCCTCAGCTCAAAACCAAACCTCGGGAGCCTTCGTCGTCATCCTCTATGCTCCTCCTCGCAGTCGTCGGCACCAGGGCCAAAGCCTCAAAGTCGACCGGCGACCTGCCTCGTTCGGCCGCCATCGGGACGTGGGACCCTCGCGTTTCCACCGAACAAGATGCAGCTAATGCTGTCTTGCATGCTTATTCCCCCACATCGAACCCGCCGCTGCCATCTCGACCGCAAATGTGCGTCTTCTCGTCCAAGTCTGACAGCTTAATGCAACCGCAACGCCATTGCATACACCAATCAGCCCAGCCGCCCTTCCGCCATCCTGCACCCGCGCCGAATCGGTCCCAGCCCCTCACGATCCTCTGGGCGGAGTGACGGCCATGTTCCGCTCCAGGAGTGTCTTTTTGCTGGCCACCTGGCACAGTATCGGGATGTTTCAACTGCACGGCTTTCGGCTCCAAGCCCACGTTCTTGGCATATTTTCATGATGGCATCACCAACTGCCGCTGCTCGACTGCCACTGCCACCATCCCAAGAAGCGAGCGACAAAAGCAATTCCGATGCCATGGGACGACTCGAGGGGTTTAACATGGGCAGAGATGCATCTCAGAGGCACAAGCTCGCCCGTCATCGGCCACCACCGCGCACCATTCGCCAATCCCCCAACCCGTGGGTCATGGCCTGTTGCCCGCCTCTCAGCCGCCGTTCCTCATTGCGCTAAAAGAGCTCTAAGCTCCAAGGAGGCACACAGGATCGTCTCCCCGCAGGCATCTCGACCTCTTGCCTGGCGGAGAGGGGGACATCCACGAGCCATCTGCCAGTGTCTTTTTAAGTGGAGTTGGCGCTGGCTTACCTTGAAAGCCTGTCGGTTGAGACCTCGCTACTCGTCGCGTGGGATTCCAGCCGCCCAGCTTACGCCCACGTCTGAAGCCTTGTCCATTTCTACAAATCCCAAGTGCCTCTGGATCTATTGAATTAAGGCGTGGCAGCAATTTGAAAAGTGCTTCAATTGCTCGTCATGAAGGATCTACAACACGTTGCCCTGGCGGCTGCTGCTGCTACGGCCGCCATCGCACAAACGTGCGCTGACGTGATCGAACCAAGCTACACGCCTCCTCAGGTCGCCGCAGGCTGGCAAGCACAGCTGGTTGCGAATGGGTACAAGAAACCACGGACTATCCATGTCGATGGCGAGGGTGCGCTGCTTGTTCTCGACGCCGCCGTGGGCGTTTACCATGTCACCTTCAAGGACAATGGCGGGACTTGTCTCACGCTTGCCGAAAGCAAGCTCATGATCAACAATACCCGCGTACGGCCAATATCATCTTTAATCAAAGTTCAATCACTGACGTTCCATCCAGTTGACCCATGGTATGGCTCTCTCTGAAGACGGCAAGACTATCTACGCTTCCTCGGTCTCTCAGGTCCTCGCATGGGCCTACGACCAACAGACCGGCACCGTCAACGCAGAGCCTGCCGTTGTTATCGACAACATGGCGAACAACGATCAGACGACACGCACCCTCGTCATGTCCCAGGCGTCCAAGAATTGGCTCGTTGTCTCCCGTGGTGTCGATGAGAACTTCGATATCGATGCTCTGGATACTTCATCTGGTCATGCCCAAGTCAACGCCTTCGACCTGAGCAAGGTTGGCAAGGATCCCTACGACTACAACGCCGACGGCAAGCTATTGGGCTGGGGCATTCGCAACGCCGTTGCTGTCGCCGAAGATCCAGCAACGGGCAACATCTGGGCGATGGACAATTCCATTGATGATATCACCCGCAACGGCTTCGACATCCACGACAACAACCCTGGTGAAGAGTTGAATCTGCTTGGCACCGTCGCGAACGATACCGAAGCTAGAAACTACGGCTACCCCCGCTGCTTTGCCGTTTGGGACACCAGCATCCCTCTCAACGATTCTCTCCATGTCGGGGACCAGTTCTCGATGGAACAGAACACTACCATGAATGACACTCGCTGCCATAACGACTACATCGCTCCTCGGTTGACTTTTCAGCCGCACACTTCTCCCGTCTTCCTCAAGTTTGACAAGGACGGCTCTCGCGCTTTCATGTCCTTCCGCGGCAGCTGTGAGTAAAACGCTCGCTGGATAAGCAAGCAGCATGCTGACCGTTTCGCAGACAACCGTCCTGAACCTGTCGGTTATGCCTTGACCGCTGTCGACTTTGCCAAGGGTGAACCTGTTGCCAGCAGCGACTCGACTGATGCCCTCATGAACATCATGTACAACAAGGATCTCAGTACTTGCCCCGATCAATGTTTCCGACCGGTTGGTCTCGCCTGGGACTCCAAGAACAGACT